TCCTAGGAAAGTAGCACCAAGCTCTTCGTATGGTCGCCAGTTTTGCTCATGGAATGAGCAGTTTCTTCTTGACATCTCCATTGTTCGTGAGCCGATACAAGTTCCCGGTGACAGATTACTTCATAAAGACATTTCTTGAATACCGAGATTTTGTTATACACGCACCGGCGAAATACGCGCACATCTTCGAACCCTCACCACATGCGGCGTCGGTGCCTGGCGGTATTGAAAACAAATTTTCCCGTCTTGAAATACGCAAGAACAATACCCATAGTAAGTGATTTGTGGAGATAAACACGATTAATAAATTTATTGCATGCACAGCGCGAAGGACGTTTATATTGGCGACGAACGCTTTCAGTACGACGATGCTCCATAGCGATCTTGGTGCGATTGGTTAAGAACGACCCTTTCGAAGCTTCTAAGATTTTCAGGGAGCGAAATGGCGATGGCTATGGCAACTGAGACCGATCCGTCAACCACGTTCCGAGGTTGGGTCGTCTGTATGTTAGCATCGGTCTGTGTCCGGCTAGCAGGCAGGGAAGGCAACGGCGCTGCTTTCCCACATTCCAGTAACAATTTAGACGCATGTCGTGCGACTGTCACGTGACCTTCGGGATGGGCACAGCCACGCGCGTGCGCGCAGTCACGTGGCACGTTCAACTCGTTGGATTGGCTGGAATGGCTTGTAGCGTCCGCTGAGGTCTAGCGAAGTTGTCAGAAATTTTGACAAAGAAACGAGAAAGACTACGCCTTTTTTAATGAGTCGGCTTTCGTACACCCATGACAGGGAAAAGCTGACGGCGTCCGTCTGCGAGCAAAGCAGTAGAAGGGGAAGCGCGCTGCGTAGGGAGAGAGGAGAGTAGTAAAGGACAAAGGCGAGAGGAAGGTGACGTCACGGGGCGGAAGCCAATGCGCGCGCGGCACGGCGAGGCGAGAGGGAGGCGTCGTCCAGGGGCGACGCTGGGGTAAGTTTGAACTTGCAGGTGTGCGGAGCGCGTGTGTCTCGGTTTGTGCTACAAAGTAGAGTGTGAACCAAGCACTAGCGCTGGTCGAAGTAGGCGGCAAAAGAAGGCGGATTGTGAACGAAGGAGACGGGCTGCCGAAACCGGTGAACAAAGAAAGCAGTGTCAGGCAGCAGATGTCGCTGCTAAGCGTGCAAGGCGGGCGGACGAGACAGAGGGGCGGAAGCAGGGCCATAGCTCGGCTGGCCGAAATGCGGCGCGAGAAGCGGCAACCCGACGCCGGTTTGCAAAAGAGATTTCCAAAATAAACCCCCAAAGCCGCAAGCAATGAAAAGAAGATCCATTGGGGAATTATTAGGGAAAGGCGTTAGCGTGACCCTTGCGAAACGCTACACACGTTCCCTTTTGGGAAACGCTAACGATGACCCCGTAACGAAGCCAAAAAGAGGCAGCAAAATATAGAGGAAGCAAAAGAGAAAGCCAAAACGTAAAAAAGTGAAGTGGTCAGCGTTAGCGTCTTCCAAAGGGGGGCGTCTGTGGCGTCATGCGAACGCATTTCCTAAGGATCCGCCAATGGATCTTCATCTATTTTTGCTAAAGGGTATCCCATCCAAAGGCGAACCAAAGTAAATGACTGATATCCATTTAAGGAGACTAAATATGAGCACTGCCAAAACATCTGATCGGAAACCGCGATGCACTTTAGAACCGATATTAAAAATGCTACCACCAGCTTGTCAGCGTGCTGGCTCTTTGTCAAGCGAGCTTGTGCCCTGATAGTTCCCTGCTCGTACTACCACTTACTTCGTTTATTTTTTTTTTTCTTGCTCCGTGTTTAACCGCCCCAGCGGACGATTTCTGCTTGTTACGTTATGTTTCAGCGGCCGTAGTTTGGAAATGTTCTTCGGTGATCGCGCACGAAGCATATTGACTCCCTGCTCGCGGTAGCCGAAGATAGCATTCACTAGCGGCCAGAGTTTTAGTCCGTTCTTCCTCAGCGCGAGCTTACGATTAACTTGCAGAACGCTTCTGCAACGTGCATTGCACACCACCAAGCTCAGAATTAAGTGGGGGCTCGTTCTGAGCCCGTGCTCATCGTGAAAAACTCGCTTTTCGACAGGCAACTTTATGAATTATTTGCTACCTGTTTTACTGCTATGCAAAGCATAGCAGTAACGGCTGTTTTACTACTACGGCTGTTTTACTGCTATGCAAAGCATAGCAGTAAATCAGCCGTCTGACTGATTGGAACTGCTCTTGCGACTTGGCCAGTCGTTCGCTTTGTGGTACCGCAATATGAACTTTGCGTCACACGATCAGCGGATCACAAGGGCTGCCACCCTGCTCAAGCCAGTAGTTTCGGTATCGCCGCAGACCCCGATACAAAACTTTGGAATAAGATATCTACAAAACTACACAAGGCATAAAAAAAAATCGTTTTGTAACTTCGGCACGCTGAACAAGACCCAGGACATCTATTTTGCTGTAAGTAGAATGGTCAGTCTCTTCGTCTCTATCTCTCTCTCCTTTACAAAAAACAGTCGTATCCCTAAAGTACTCAAACAAAAATTTCCATTTAGGCCCGTGGGATTTCAAATCGAGTTAAGACCTTTATTGATCAACTATGCTTACACGGTTTGCAATGAAACAACTTTTAAGAAATGCGAGTCACTTCAGGGAGCCGAACAAAGGAAGATCATTATTTCCTTATTTATATTAATGCTACCTCAACAAACGATACCCTAACAAAAATTTTCGCGAAATTCAGAGGGTCATTCTGCTTGAATGCTGAATTATTGCGCCTTAATGTCATACGAACTTTAGACAAGCTATATCGACACAAGTATACCACGCCTACCTTTTTTGTGTTGTAATTTCAAAGACAAAGCTCGTGGTGTCGGCTGCGTCTGAACTTAAGGTGTAACGAAGTAGGGTAACACCGTCCAGCATTAACGCACTTCGAGTAACGTCATTCCAGTGTGGAACGCCGATTGGAAAGAAGCACTTAGTCATCAGTTACGAGATGCTTTCGCTCAGCTAATGCATCGCGGTTGTATGATGTCACATGAAAGAGCAGCGACAACACCTTCTAGATAAGGAAGACTAAGGGCTGAATTCTGAATTTGCCTGCGCCGCTAACGAAAGCCGCCGTAGGCCAAGGGTGAGACACGAACTACATCGTCAGCGTTCGGCTAGGAGTCGTTCCAATCAGAGAGAACACGGCTCCTAGCCGAATGGTGACGCCGCAGTCGTATCCAAGCTGCGGCCTATGGTGGCCTTCGTTAGTGACGCAGGAAAATGCAGCACTTGGGCTTTCATATTGAGAGGGTGTTGAAAGGGATATCAAGTGCCTGATGAAGGGGGAGAAAACCGGACGTGTTTTATCTGAGCCCGGTGTGGAACGTTATCCAATCTTTCGGTTCGTGTCTGCGTGAACCGAAACGCTGAAATATCTTCGAGTAAACGTAACCAACGTTTGATGATGTATCGAGCAGCACACCGTCACTTCTCTTGTTGTCTAATTCTACCAAAGAGAAATGACTTTAGACCGTGGGACATCCTTGAAGAAGTAGGACGCGCAGAAAAACTTTCGAATTCAAGTTACATCCACAATCCAAATCGCAATCGTTTTTTTTTTTTTTTTTTTTGTACTTTTCGTTTTTCAAACAGTCTCCTACGGGCTGGAAGAATTTCTCTTCGATTATATTACTTTCGATTTGCAAATACTTGCTTTTTTCTCCCCGCATACAAAGAAACCTTACACCTTTGAGGTGTACGAACGCTTTTCCAGGGACCTATACTGTTGCGGCTACACCCCTTCAGCACCCTTATTTCGACCCGATGCCCCCTTTTCGATCGTAAAATAAGATGACGTCGAATTTAACACACTTAATTTTGGAAAAGTGTAAACTGGGTGCGGAAAAGGCTGAAGTGAGGCGAACACCCTTTTTGAAGAGTGTTCACCGCAGCCTAATTCCACACGCAGCCGACACTACCAGGTTATGGGGCCAACCAAGCAGCGCCAATAGCTCAAGTCACTAGATATTTCCTGTTTATGATTGGTTCAGCGATCTTGACGCTATCTCTTTTGACGCCATCAGATTGGTCCATGCATTTATGAGCTCCGTCGAGGTTGTTTTAGCGAAGAACTCGAGTAATCATTTCCAGCACCATCATGCTTTTGACTTTGAGATTCATTCCTTGAGCGCTTATATTGTATGCATTGCGCTAAATATTGATGAGAACAAAACAACATGTATATGCAACTCGTAATTCATGAGGGCCCCGCGAATTTTGAATTGTCGAGTATATAAGGCGGTGGGTAGCGGACACCACTGTGTCAGGATTCTCCTCTCGTGCATGATTCGTTGCGTCTGTGTTTTCCCTGACTGCGCACATGAGAATCACACGTGGAGCTCGCTGCTGGTAATCTTGCTGCTTGTAAAAAAAAAAAAAAAAAAAAAAAAAAGGTTCCTAGGGTACTGAACTTTAGGGGGTCGCCACCGTTCTATATTTCGGAGGTTCGCGAGCGTCCTAAGGCCACGGTAACACAGCTAGTACAACGTACAGAAACAGTCTGCTGACAAGGCGCGTTTCTTCCTTGTATGACGGTCGGTCCTGCCACGTTGGTTATATAAAAAAAAATTGTCTGTAGACGTTTGAAGCGCGCATGCGTAGAATACGAACGTGCTCCAACGCACTTGAGGCGGGCCCATAGATAGTTATGTCACCGTGTCTACAGAAAACACCGTGTCTTTTTTGTAGCGTGAGCTACACTGGCCGAGGAAAGAGCCGTGCTGCGCAAGCACGAGGAGCAGTGACGTCACACGGCGCACAGCTGGCGCGCCGGAGCCGCCGCCGCCGCGCGCTCCGCCGCCGGCGCGCGCGCCTGGCCGGTCTGCACATTCCAGAGAAGAGACGTCATAGCCGCGGCAGACGCACTGGCGCTGCCGCGTGCCCAGCTGTGCGCCACCGTTGCGCAGTAGCCAAGTCTGACGCTGCACCGGAACCGCTTGATAGCGCCTCTCATTTTGTGCGCATAAGCTCACGCTACGTATATCCTGCAGGTATAGCCGAGCTAAGCCACCGCAATTTTTTTATGTATATAGACCTTTGCAAAAATCGCCTTCTGCACGCTGCCATCTTTGTCTGCTGGGCTGTGAAATGCCTTCTGAGTATGCGCTGTTGCTCTGTTGTGCGGTATATCAGACGCTGCGCATGCGCCCACAGCTCAGTGACTGAGCATTTTTAGCCCAGGTGATAAGCGATGGAAAGGTCTATACACGAGCAGTGTGGCTGCAGCTTAGAGGCGTTGTAACACCCTTAGGCTGTTGGTCCTGGGACAATCTGATTTATACCATTAAGGGTGTAAAGTATTTTAGTCTGTACGTCGCTCAACTATTTCTATCTGTGCACTTTTTTTTCTCATAGTTCGCTTCGGATACCGACGTCAAAGATATCACCAAATTTACAACCTGGCTGGGCCAGCTTCAGAAGACCAACGCCACAGACGCACTCCGCCTTGGTCATCAAGTAGAAGACATGATTCTCCTCTGCAACATAAAGGGCCAGTATAGCTGCAGCGATTTTGGGTAAGTCGCTCACTTGCGAATATCTATAGTTCTCGGTGCGAGTCTCTTTGTACCGGCGGTGTGCTCCGCGCTTGGCAATCATTTGGAGATACCGACCAACTTGGATTTAGTAGCGTCGGATACCCATAGTATACAGATGCCGCACCGCACGAATCCGGTAACCGCGTAATCCCAAAAACTATGCGGAACACAAGTTCGCTTGCTTCTTGCACATGGGTTGCGATGAGGTCAGAGCGACGCCAAGCTCTTATTGGCTGATTTAAAAAAAAAAAAAATATATATATATAGGGGGTAGACTTCGAGGCATCTTGCGTTGAGGTCTGCCCACTATCCTTCCAATCAAAGCCAATCGGAACACGGCGTCGTTCTGACGTCACAGCAACCCCTGCGCAAGAAGCAGACGACTTGCTCTCCACATAGACAGTACAGTCTCCGGCGATATGAAAGACCTACTGGGAGTGCGTGGCCGAGGCAGTGGCTGGCGGGGGCGCTATGAGCGCTCCGGGCAATTCCATTCTGCTTCGAGGGGAGGACGCTCACTCGGGGCTCAGCACAAACTGATAAACGCGCGCTTTAGCTGAGCCCCGAGTGAGCGTCCTCCCCTCGAAGCAGAACGGAACTGCCCGGAGCGCTCGCAGCGCCCCCGCCAGTCACCGCCTCGGCCACGCGCTCCCAGTGGGTCTTTCATATCGCCGGAGACTGTACGTTTCACACTCAATCTCGCCGCAGCCAACGCTACGATTCGACGGAGCCAATCAAGTAGCGTCCAATGTGCTTCGTCATGGCGCTCACGTCGTCTTTGTAACGTCTGCAGTCACTGTCTAGACCAATCACGCACAGAAAAAAAAAACATTACAGGATTGCGGCGCAGTCACTGCGCGTGATTGATTCAGCGAGTGATGGGAAACACACAAAGACGACAAGCGCCGTGACTATGCGCTTTTTGGCACTGCTTGATTTTTGGCCCCAGGATCTGTTGCGCTTGAAACGGGATTTAAGCTATAGGTGGCGCAAGCTGCAGCCTGATTCAAGAAGTATATCACTTACTATTTACCCCCTTACACATCTCTGTTCGTCATTCTCTGCCATTAACGACGCCTCAAAAATGCAATATTTTTTTTTTATTTTTGTTTTTTTGGAAGAGGGGGGGAGGGACAGTGAAGAAAGCTTTGGCGTCTGCCCACTTTTGAGAAGGAAAAAGAAAGTGACGCAAGGAATGTGTTCTTGCAATGACACTTCAAGAACGGTAGTGCAATAAAAGTCCGGCTTCTCATGGAACGTTGCTAATGTCACTCTTCGTGTGTCGAATTAAGATATTAGAAGGTGGATTGACTTTATGTTCATTTATGAAGACGTACACGTTTCGAGTGCCAAAAGCATTGATTCTACCTTCGACAAGCAAATCTTTCGAGAACTACTTTGCGAACCGTATAAATAACGCGCAACACTTTTTTTTTTGTTATTTCTTTTTTTATTCTTGACATGACAGCGAGTGGCTGGAAGCCCCAGCGTGGTCAGCATTTTCACATCCGTCCACAAAAACTCTTGCATATCGTACTTCTCACAAAATTCCGTGTTTATTTCGAATTTATCGTGTTGGATCTAACACATGGACCATATATGGCTCTAAGCCACTTTAAAGGGATGCTGAACCGAAATCTGGATTCCACAAAACACGGCGGCAAAAGCGTGCAACGGGATGCTACAAGCACCAAAACATCACTCATACACCGATATCTCGAACGAATGACCGTATAAAAAAAAAAAAAATGAAGGCGCATTTGACAGATATGTTTACGCCTTGTTTCTCCAAGAAGGAGAAGGAACGGCCTCGCGTCTTCTCAACACCTCCTAGAAGACAAGGCCGTAGCGCTCTCGTGACGTCGCAAAGGAAGGCCATCGGGGGCGCGCGTCGAAGCGAATGCAACGCGCGTAGATCGACCGTCGTAACGCGTTTTTAGTCACATACGCGTGTCATATTAGCTAAAATGAAAGCTGCAGATAGCAACGGGTCTAGAAAACATTTTATTATACGAGCAAAATATTACACCGCTAAATAATCGGTACAAAATGGCACGGGTATGCGTACAAGACGTCTATAGAAAAATGTGATTGTTTTAAGTCGAAAACATTGAGTCATGCAATTATTGTTGTAGGAATGCATATTTTATACAGAAATACTTCGACAAAATGGCGAGACACGCAGTGATTTGGAAACAGCAAAACAGAACAGTTAAAAATCAGGTAGACGTGGTCAACGCGGACAAGGCAAGACAAGTGTTTCTCACGATCATGTAAGCGACGTTATTGGGTGCAGTCCCGGCCACATGGCAAAATTAATGCAATTTCGATCGAATGACATTGTGGGGTCGACAAATCCGCTTGCGGCGCTCGTATAACCACTCAAGACCGCGAGCTGGTTAAATCCTATATCACTGAATGAAAATATATTAACTTTTCCGTGTGGCAGGGGTACTAAACTTACTACTTAGTCTACTAATTTACCTCTCCCTATGGGCTCGAGCTGTCTTAGAACAAAACATAACTTATTTTGTATATAATAATACTATTACCTTAATACAGTTAAGATTCTAGTCTAAACGCGGAAAAGGCAATAACATAGCTTTAGTATAAATAAACACAGAACCACGAACAACGCACTTTCAATAATCACACAAACTTGTTTTTCACCTTCCAGTGAAAACAAGATTAGCGCGCATATTTACAAATGTCAACGAAACTGCACGCGAATCATGACAAAGAACAAAATTGCAATCTATCATGCGATTAAAAAAAAACAAATAAACGATTGCAGCATCTTACTTGCGTCCTACATGACCAAGAAAGCCCGTAAATAAGTTGTTTCTCACCTGTCGATCGTATCCATACGTCCCACAATATCCGTGACGTACATATTTGAACACGAACTCCAAGAAGCCTCTCTCTGTCGAGAGAGGTCTATCGATTAATCGACCAGTCTTCGTTGGCTCGTTGTTGCACATGTCACTCAAACCGAAGCAGGACTTGTTTCACGAATCCACGTAAATGCCGTAGTATCAAGCGAACACACAAAAAAACTACCCGAGACTACGGTGATGACAGAAATACGACGGGAAACAAGTCTCAAAAGTACCACACACGAGAGCAGCGGCGACGAAAGGCTTGACGTTGTCGACCCATCTCTTGCTCGTGTGCGCTCCCTGCGACAATGACTGGATTTCTTTTCGGTTTCCTTCCCTTCTGAGATGTCTCAGCGTTCCTTTTCAGACAGTCAGCAGCTAACACACAACGTAAATTTACCAGAATCGGAGCCATGTGGCATCGGCAGCATCGCAGCCGGTCCTTTCGAAAAGTGTGGGGTGCTGCGGAACTGCAGGTAGTCCCGCGGTTACGGGGATACTCATAAATATAAATTTGGTACTCTCAACCTTGGTAACGCGTTGTATATTACGTTTATATTATATCTATAATAAATTGTACAAGACTGCGCCTTTAAAACGTATATTAATGCCGGATAAACGCGCGTGAACACCACCGCGCCGAGATACATTTTTTTCACGTCGATAGCGTATTCTCACGTAGTTGCGCCATGGACTTCCTTCTTCCGCCATTGTGACGTAACCTCTCAGAGCGCTCTGGCCTTCTTCTCTAGGAGGTGTTGGTCTTCTCCGCCTCGCCGCCTTGAGGGGGCAAAGCGAAGAGAGGAGGAATAGAGATATCTTGACGTCACGCGCCTCGTCGGCCTCGTTCAATTTCGACTTCTTTTTCCAAAACTACAGCCGTCCATTCGAGATATCGCCTTACGAGTAGTGTAGTAGGGATTGTAGCATCCCCATTACAGCTCCTGCATTGTTTTCTGAAATCCAAATTTCGGTTCAACATCCCTTTAAGTGAACAAAAATAGTTGGGCTTGTTGCGCGCTGAAATATACTACAAAAATGTGGCTAGGTGTTACTTTTTTTTTTTTTTTCAAGAGTTCAAAATTAAAAATATAAATATTTCAAATTTTTTGCTTTCGCTCATTATCTGCTTTTGTTAAATCAAACGGCCCAATATGGCCCTTTAAATGGTTTGACGCAGTTCTCACTTTGACACAAGAAATCTCAACTCGCCTGCGCACTTAGTATTTTCACTAATTTGTTTTTATGTCAGTTTTGATTGAGGCAAATTTTAGACTGTTGCCTTTTATACAATTTTTTTTTTTTTTAACGGGTTAGGTTTTTCACGTTTCGAATCGTCTGAGAGTTGTCTTATCTGCGCGATATTCTTTTTGGCCTCTCGTCCGTTGTAAGTTATAATTATAATATATCTACAGCAGCAAATAAGATGTCGAGCCAACCTCCTTGACAATAAAGGGATTCAATCAATTCACCAATCATAACGGCCGGTATTCTAGAAGAGAAGCATCAGATAAGGCACGAAAAAGTAGTAAAACGCACCATAACAAAACTTTTCGTCCAGGAATTTCACTCTACGCCTGAATCCAAGATACGGCAACTGCTTCTGCGTTGGCTGCGACAAAGAAGCCGACCAAAAGTTGCGAGTGGACGCCGTCGTTTCGCCCAGGGCAGGTAAGCTGGCCCTGGAGTCGCGTCTACCCGTAATATTCTGCAAAGCCCGCCCGCCCGCCCACGCCAGCCCTGCAGTGTATATACTCAAGCAGGCGACTCACGAAACCCGTTCACACACTTGCGTTTGCTCACGACCGAGTTCTTGTGATCTTTTACGACGACAGGAAACTACCAGAGAGCCCAGATTACGGAGAGTTTCCAACTGTCTCGCTCGGGGTCACGTGGTTTGTGGGCCACATTTGCAAATACGTGTTGCGAGGAGGTGTGACGAAAGCGTTGCCTTTCCGTCTGCTTTTCTCCTCGCCACGCGACAACGCAGAGCATGCGCACTTGCGACTAATCTCCGCAGACGCGTCCGCCATTAAATTGCAAACGCTTTCCATGGCTCTGAGATGGACCCTCTCTACCATCTAGGCTCTCTAGTGTACACACTGGATCGTGCATAATGACTGTCCGCGTTAAAAATATTTTTTTTTTTGTAATAAATATATGTGGAAGCCATGTTGTTTGGAGGAACATTCAACTATATGCGAACGCCGCGGCTATATTTTTTCCCCAGAGATTTAAAATCGAGAAGCTCGAGGCGTGGAGGTTGCCAAGATGTCGTTATGGTAATTCGCACAGTGAGAATAGTTCTGCTTCATAGTTAACTTCACAAGTTGTTCACAAAAATATGTAGGCAATTAGGTAGTAACTATAAGTGTCGGACGACACTTTATGGAGTAGGGCAAGAAATGCCGTGAAACGCAACGAAAAACACGAAAACAATTCATCCGCCAGGGCGCGGAGGGGAGAGCGGATGGAGTCGAAGCAACCTAATGGCGGCCGCATCACGTGATTGCAAGAACGCTGATGCAAACAAATAAAAAACAAACTGAAAAAAAAGAATTTTGACGTCATCGGCATCCGCATCGTCATCGTCACTGATGACGTCATCAGTGACGTCACTGATGACGTCATCAGCATTCTCATCGTCATCGTCACTGATGACGCTGACGTCATCAGTGGCGTCACTGATAACGTCATAGTCACGCGACCTCTAGGGGTCAAGTGACCCCGGTGACGTCACATGACCCCCGTGAGGTTACGTGACCCTCGCGAGGCGACGGCGACGCCACTCGGAGGGAGGAGTAGTAGCCAGGATGAGGACGTGAGGAGGAGGGAGGAGGGGTATACCTTCCCCTCAGTACCCTTCCCTCCTCCTCCTCCTCAAGAGCTGCGCTCTAATCCGGTGTTACAGAAAGTTGTAAACGGCTTTCATTTTTTTTTCCCTCGATATTGTGACAGATCCCTCATCTGGTCCCTTAGCCAAAAAGTTTGGAGACCCCTGGTCTATTACATTGTAAACAAATCCCCCCCCCCAAAAAAAAAAAAAAATATATATATATATATATATATATATATATAATGACGTGCGAAAGAAATAGGAAATATGCGGCAGTGCCAAGTGTCTTCCTCGGTTACCCGATGAACGGCTCCAGTGCGTTCTCTCGTCCCAAGAGATTTTGAGAGGTTTTAAAGGTACCCCGAGGAGCTTTCTGAGAGCGCCTACATGTGGCGATAACTCGCTCTGCTGGCCTAAGCTGAAAACCAAACACACCACTCTCGCAAAAAAAAAAAAAACGTGGTGCTTAGTTTTTTAGATTTATATTGCAGTACTTTGTTCACTCTCCAGGAAAACTTAACATTTTTCGACTACACTTATTCGCTTTTGCCATTTACAAAAGCATACGCATTTTATGCTAACAGCTTTCGCAATTTCAACGTCATTGGTTTTCATCTCCTCAGGTCGCCGCAGATGACCTCGGTGTGTTCGATCTTTGATTGCTTCTTTAATGGGGAAATCGGACGCGCATCGTTATGATCTATGGATCTCTAGAATGCTTAGAGCCGGCAGAGTTAGGCGAACGTACCCAGTCGTAAGTGCGTGAACAAGCCAGCAAGCATAGCCAGGTGTAGCCAAAGCCACTCAATGTTCACAGAGTACCGCGAAACTCCTAAGCCTTGAAGTTTCAGAACCGCGTCGTGGCGCTCCAATGGATGACTTAGAAAGGGTCACTCTTTTTTTTTTTTTTTTTTGTTCATTGTTATCGGGTTTCTTTAGTGCTTTTTATTAATTCTAGTTTGAACGCTCACATCAAATGCTCCGGAGCAACGTCGTACACCACGAATACTAGAAAGAGGCAAGCGTCGGAACATCCGCCACTTGCATGGCGTTATTCACGCTAAACAAAACATAACCTAAAAATACGGAAAAAAAATTTTTGGAGGTGTTATATATAATTTTACGGTTATTAATAGAATCATACGCGCGACTGGTTTAGATGCGCTCAGAACTGAGCAAGAAGCGTGTAAGAATCGTCAAGCATTTGTCTTAGAATATAACGTTTTGTAGCGCGAAAAACATGTGACAATAAAAGGAACATTAAACGATTGGTTAATGTACTATAGTATATTGACCGATCGTTTAATGTTCCGGTAGTAAAACCCCTTGATTATAAAACATTTTCTTTGAAAAGACGGTTTTGTAAATCTAGCACTTTATTTAAAAAGCGAAATGTTGTGTTAGCATTAGTTGTATGAGAGAAATAGTAATGTTTAATCGCAATAAAAATAATTACATTTTAAAAAAAGAATGGTTCAATTGGATGCAACGAGCTCCTTGGGATGTTACTGTATGTGATGGGTAAGGTAGAACTTTATTTTTAAACCAGCTACCGACGTATAAAATAGCAACACGCAGTATGGTACCGATAGAACGTGGCAGGAAGGTTCGGTGGCCGAGTGGGCTAGCGAACACCAGCTCGGAGCACGTGGAGTGAAAGCTCGCGCTGCAGAACCCAAAGATCCTGGGTTCAATCCCCACCCTGCCCGTTTCGATCTGGATGAGCATCGTATCGGCGTTCGTTCGTGTACCACTACTGCGTGGTGCACGTTAAAGACCCCAGGCCAGTGGTTGTACCGCACCGGCTAAATTGCTCATCTACAGCGAGTGACTCGTCGCAACTTTGAAATTGCTGACCAACTACACGCTGTATCCGGCGATGAAAGGAGCATGTTCCGGACCCCTGTTAGCAAATAGCGAGTGAAGCAAACAAGTGAAATTATTATTATTAGAACTTGGCAAACAACATTGGAGTAACCACTGGATAAATATCGCACCGCAGTACTTTCTACCCATCAATTATTTTTTGATTCTGAGAAGAAAAGCGCATTCGGTTTATGTCCCGCTGTGCAGGAGGCCTGCAACTGTTGCTGAACACCGAACTGAACGAGTACCTGGGAGTGATCCCTGAAGCAGGTTTCATTTTAATGGCCCACCACCCCAGGGTGCAACCCGACATCACGCAAGACGGAATCATGTTGCCTCTGCGCTCCACCACCTACATTAGTTTGCGGAAGGTAAAGCGCGCGATTTTCACGAAGCTCTTTAAACTGACGGGTTCAGACGAAGCTATTCGTCTGCCGGACCAACCTGGTCGAACTATCTGATATAGTAAGCACATATCTTTCATATCCTCTGCTTCAAGGAGAGGTGGACAAAATCAATCCTCATGCAGTCCTTCGCCGAAACGCAACAACAGCTTTCTTTTTCTTTTTTTTTCTTTTTTTTTTTACTTTTGGGGCGTAGTAGTTGTCTATCGACGTTTGCAACGCTAGCCTTTTCCTCTTTTGTTTTGGGCACAAGTTCGCCCCATTAGACGTTTAGTTTGCTTCAGTTTTCATCGCCTCATCAATTATCGTTCGTGACATTTTGGTGGAGGTGCGGAGTAACCTCTTGGCCACGCACGCGGAGGAGAGAGTTAGCGGGAGTCACGTGGCTGTGCAACGAATTTGCGGCTTTCAAGAAGCCACGAAAAATGGGTACCACGTTTATTATCTATTTCTAATATTGAGTGTGTGCCTTCGAATTCGATGACGGGCGACTTTTCATTATATTTGGTGCCGTGTCTAAACCACAGAATACGGCGCGAGACCACGGAGAAGAGAGTGAGCGCGTATCAAACCCAACAGTTCTTGATCGGCTGTTTTCGGGCGGAAATAAAACGAATCTCGAGCAGAAAATTGTATTCTGGGTATTTGGGCTCTCATATATATGCCATTTACAAATAAAAACCTTGGCGAACATAAATACCTCGTCAGTGTTCCTTTAACGGAAGACAGCAACCACGCACGCTCAGGAGGCGCCCGGCCCACAGCCCAGTGGACAAAAATGGCGGCACGCATGAGGCAGTTATTGAAATTATCCATACAAAGGTTACTATGTTTAGTGTTTACGGGGCACAAGTTCGCTTGCTTCTTGCGCGGGGGTTACGCTGACGTCAGGACGCAGAGTTATGATCGTCTCCGATTGGAATGGTATGTTGACGTGCATAAAGCCAGCCGCCTTGAGGTCTACCCTCTATCCTTCCAATCGGAGCCAATCAGAGCTCGACGTTCTGACGTCACTGCAACGCCTGAGCAAGGAGCAGACGAACTTGAGTTCCGCATTGCTCAGGCCCCCAAACAGCAGTCGCGATCGTCTGCAGTCACTGACAGCTAGGAGTGACAAGTCTTGAACATCTTATTATCGCTCCAAAGCCAATTAGATTATGGCATTAGACGATACGAACGTCTAAGAACGAATCACGGAGCAAGAAGCGTGACCTTAGAGGCTGGTTCAAACTTGACGCATTTACGACTGCTTACGACCGGAAAGGGCCGGTTCGCACACTTCTGTTTGGCTACGACCGACTGCGCTACAACCGGTTTAAAACAATCTTGTGACTGTTTAGGACCGACTGCGCAACAACACAGCCGGTCGTATATGCAGGGACGAGGGTCTTAAAAGCCGGTTGCACAGCACAACCGGTCGTAGTCAAGCGCAAGTGAGTGAAACTCCGGCTCTACGTTGTTATCGGTATCAGATAACGAATTCGAGTATTTGAAGCCGCAATTTGTGTCTAATTTATTGCATGATTACTCCAAGAACCGAAGTGCACTTTAGAGGTTTCAGTACTTCTTTTCTCGTGGTTCACTTTATAACCTTTTTTTTTTCTTTTTAGGAAACTGTCAGCAGGCTTCCGCCACCTTACAAAGATGCTTGCCAAGATGACTGGCCAGGAAAACTCCAAGAATTCGCTTTTAAAGGCAACCTTTATAATACTGAGGTAAGCCACCTCACGTCGATGTGGTTAAAATCCAATTTATGGGAGTTTCGTTACGGTGTAGATGTAGAAATGTCCGTGCTACATTCCGTCGGTACAAACTTGAAGAATTCACAATTCGCGGTATTCCCTATGTTCTGTTCTGACGCAGCCTCGAACCCAAATAGTCGACGTGCACCTCGGACCGGAGCTTCATACATTTTAAAGACCTCGTGAAGATGCAACAAACTGCAGCCTCTCCATCATGTTAAACGTATCGCTTTCTCAATGTTGCCGATAATGATTTGACTCCTTGTTTTAACAAACTAAAAGAAAGAAAAAAAAGTTTCCTGTCAGTACAAGGAGAGAGAGAGAAAGAAAAAAAAACAGTCAAGCAGACTGCACTCAATATACTAAACACTCTTAATTGCATTCCGCATATGACTCCCTTTTGAAGCAATCAGCCTGAGGTTTTTGTGATGTCTTTTGTTTTGTGATTCACTCCTTTTTGAAGCAAATCAGCCTGCGTGGCGAACCCTTGGTGAAGACAGCAACAACGGACGGTTTATTCTTTGACGTTTCGGCTGGAGTCTGGCCTTCGTCAGGAAGAAGTTTTACGGATGAACGCGGGTGGTATTTATACAATGCTACGGTCGAGTCCAACTTTCAAAAAGGGCGGGACAGGCTAAAAACCCAGGCGCGCGCTTCACCAACGAACGTAATGCTCCCACTCGGACCTTAAAAAAAAAAAAAAAAAAAAAAAAAAACAAGTGCGTTTTCAACTGCGCTACATGGCGACGTCGGACAAATCGGTTTGGGGTGCGAGTGGAAGGAGCGAAGCTCTCTGCTGCTGTTGATCACGCGGGATGGCGCCGTTAAAGCGGTGCAATGGCTATCGAGAAGATTTTCTATACCTCGTGTCGTCGAGGGTGACACGGTATAGGACACGACTGTAACTTGGACAGATGACGGGCTTCGTGTGTGACAGTGATACGACGAGACAATCATCGCTTGGGAGGACTCCTTTTTATTTCGGTACCTTATACCAACGCGTCGTCAAATCATTGCTTATATACCTGAATTTCCGTGCAGCTGTTTGCAACGACTAGACTCGGCGCCACGTTTCACGGGTGAACAATTACTGCTTTGAAAGGCGTAATCTCGGGGCATCCTTTATTTAATAAAGCCACCACCACGCGGGGGTGGCGCCACTCAATCATCTCACGCCGCATACCGCGGCGACCAAAGCATTTTTACGTTGCCTCACAAACTCCCCCGTAAAAAAAAAAAAAAGAGAGTATGGTCATGATTTAATATTTGGGCTCTAAGAATTCTACAATACCAAACATTACATTTATGCCTGGCCAACTTCTTCATTAAAAGTGGTATCAAAGATCGATTACATCGGAACTATCGCAGACAGCAGACGACGCCGTCGGACATGGAACAGCCCTTTTCGTCTGACGGCGCCCTCTGGTGTCTGTGAAAGCTACGAGGTGATCGTTCTTTGATACCGATTTTCATGGAGGAATCGGCCAGGCATAGATATAATGTTTTGTTTTTGTTAGAATGCCTAGAGCCCATAGATTGAGTTATGACCATAAATAGGCTATCGCAGAAAGTGGTTTAGTGCCCCTATACCTTGAGACAGGGGCAGGCAGTATTTCTTTTTTTTTTTTTTTGTGTGTGTGTGGGGGGGTGTACCATCTGGTGTACCCATGGTTCCAATCTTGAACCTCTTGTTTTTAATATATTTGTCAATGATATCCAGGACGTCATTTGACATTCGAGTCTCTTGCTGTTCGCAGATGATCTCAAGATCTATAAAAAATATTTGGACATTAAATGATTGGGCTTTGCTGCAGCAATGCAATCATCATCGCAGTGGTGTAAAGATAACGGGCTTGATATTTACACTTTAAAAAAAAAAGTAATATATTTTACGCGTAAAACTAATCCAATCTATTTTGTGTATCACTTAGAAGATTTGATGATTAGTGGCATTTACGATTCTGAAAAAGATCTTGGAGTGATGCTCCAAGATCTTTCTTGGAGCATCACTCCAAGATGTTGGAGTAGTGTAGGACTCGCTAGAGTCCTACATTACAAGCTTGTGTTTTCGTCTTCTCGGTTCAATGTCAAAACTTAGTAAGTGTTTTTTTTTTCGTTTGTGCTTTACCGATGTAGAGTTCTTCCAAAACACGACTTCTGCTCTGTAATCCAGAGTAGCCTTAGTACTAAAGCTTCCCAAAATGCGTAACGCGTACCAAAAAGATTTGCCGGAATTTATCATTTTAGATCTCCTTCAAATGACTGTTATGCCTACGACTAAGTACTTAGGCCATTGCAAATTATTAATCTTGCATCAAGACAACGTTCTCGCATCCTCGCATTCTTGTTTAAAGGCATGCATTCCTATTACGATATTAGCTCTCCGGTCTCGTCTATTAACTATCATATACCCGGCAAACATTTTCATCATAATCGCACATTGTCGGTCATACTGATCACGCTCGGGCCGACCGCAAAACCACTTTTAATCATCTGGAATCAGACGACATTGACATTTTCAACCCTAACTTTCCTTAATTTAAGAGGTGCATGCATCAGGTATTGAAGCAACACTTATGCTTTGTAACTATTCAATTCTTGTGCTGTTTCTTGTTTTGTTTTTCTTGTTGAAAGAAATGTGTGAGATGATGTAACCTTTCTTGTTTGCATTTATATGTAATCTGCGTTGCTACAAATAAGAGCACCAATGTGTATGCTTCGGCCGTTATTGGGCACCTAAAATCAACCAATGCAAACTGAGAGAGAGGGGGAGATGTGAGGGTGTGGTGACGTCAGAGCGTCCAGCTCTGATTGGACGAATTAGGGGGTCAACGGAAAGGCTAGCCGCCCAATGTCTCTACTCACTGCTCGAACGCGAGACGCTGCGCGAGGAGCAGGCGACGCTCCCGTTCGCCCTGATTGGAGGAGGGAGACAGCGGGTCAAGACAGCCTTTGCGCCTACCCACTAATCCGTCCAATCAAAGCTCGCCGTTGGGACATCCCCACGCGCTCTAATCTTCTCCTCTCTCTCGCTGTCTGGCCGTGTCGTTTGTTTTTGCATGATATGTGGAGCATGCGATGTTCCATGAGATATGGCATTTCTGCAAAAGGCTGCCTCGTCGGCGTATCGATGACTCGCGCCCGCGTTCATCCGACAGAGCTGCAGAGAAATCTGCAAACAGTACAGCGTGATAACAAGGTGCCACTGCCAGTCGCCGAGACACGCCATCATTGTCGCCGATAACGTAACGACTTCTCTGTGTGACGAAAATCACAAGGAACAGGGTGAGGACCGGCATATTAGGGTGTGCCAAAAGTGTCATAGACTTTGTGTGTGTATGTGTGTTTGTGCGTACGTGTGTGTTTGTGTGTGTGCGTGCCTGTGTATGTGTCTGTGTTGAAATTTCTTTAAATAAACTAAAAACCATTTCGTATCCATTTAGGTCGGCTGCCAGCCAGAGCTTAAATTTATGAATTTATCCATCCATTCAATGACTACAAATCGTCCGCAAGACTGTTCCATAATATATATATCCACCCACCGGACAGAAAACAGGAAAACTCGTAGACTTTTCAGTGGCCGTCTATCTGACACCGCAATATGCGTGTATTTTCCTTTCCAGTGGATTGTGTGCGAACAGCAGTTGAGCTTGTTAAGCAGCGTGTAATACCGTGTCCCTGCAGGAGACCTTGTTTGTAAGTACACCCTCAATAGGCTTACATCTGTTCATACGGCAATACTGCCAAGTTTCGAGCACTCTAAGTGCCCTCACATGTAGATACGAGGGTACCTGCTTTTTATCTAAGTTCCGATGAATTGAGCTAAAAAAAAAAAAGAAGTGATGACAAACTTTTTTTGAATACACACAAAATGCATAGGTGCACACTCTAGCTACTTCTTCGCACAAATATCGTACGTATTAAGGCAGTTATTACGACGCGGCAGAGGCTTTTGGAGGCCCTCCCGAAGGAGTGTGTTGCTGCTGCGGTTCTCAGGTGATTCCATCATATGCTCGTGCAAGACGCCACCCGCCACGATCGTGTGTGTGAAGAAAACAGCTTGAAGTGATGGAATGACAAGACCGAGGCGGCAGTTTTTTAAAGGGGGGAACCGATATCTTGGACCAGGTCACAATAACTGCCTCAATCTGTGTGGCGATTATGTAAAAGCTGAAGTGCAGGATGCGGCCATAGGGACTAACACATTTGGCACGCCTTGCAAAATTCGAATTTCAGGCGTACATATATACCTGAAGTTGGACATGCTAACGTATATTGGAAAAAAAGTTTCACGTCTATGAGCTTGCTCCTAGGTTGTCATTGTTCATGTATTTCGTTAAAAGTACTAATTAGCGCGATTATCTTGCTTGCGTCGCCAGCCTCTGCAATTAACCCTCTGCGTTTTTTGTTTTTTTTTGCGTTTAGCAAGCTATTCGGAAGCCAGCTCATACGCGGCCTCCAATTTTGATTTATTTTTAATATTTTACTACTTCCGAGTTGACATCTAAAACAAAATCTACATAAAACTTCTTGCGAAACTACGTTTGCGTGCCCAATTTCAGGTGTGTATACGTTTGGAATTCGATATTTTGCAAGGCGTGCCAAATGTGTTAGTCCTTACGGCCGCACCAATTTAAACATAAATATCATAACATAATATATTCATAAACAACACTTTACAGCTTTATTGTGACTTTCTTGGAAACGTCGATGTAACTATCCCTCAAATACAGCGAGGGCCAAAATCAGTTTCTCATGCCTTCCGGCACTCTGGTACAAAGGTGCGTCTGTTCGCAAGCTCGCTCTTTTCAATCGGCAAGTTTTTTTGTTGATTTTTCTAATTATTAAGAAGCACTCTTGCTTCAATCAAACGTTACAACTAAAAGTCCTAATTTTTCTACGTGCCTAGAAAGAAAAAGACATTGTTTGAGTATTTGGGACGTTCTGTTGGGAAAATCCTTCCGAACTTTGCTTGCGTTAGCTGCATGTTTTGTCGAATAAAACGATTCGACTCACGAAAACTCCGTTTCACTTTTAATCTAAAAAGGCTTAACTCCGTACTGAGCAGGGTGATTTTGTTTTTAGTGTTTGTAGCTTTTAATAGAGCTAATTTTTGTTTTCAATATTTCTTACAAAACAAACCCAACCTTACTCTCCCGGTAAATATCGGAGCTTGTACAAGTGATTTCTGAGATTTATTCAGAGTGGGTTACTGATTCAAGTTTGGCCCTGGTACACTCAATGTGCTCGGCTGAGCTACAGTTTGGTCCTAATATCCCACCAAAACAGGGAAACTCGATTTTTGCTACAGTAATTTCCAAACAAACGTCTTACAAAAAGAAATTTTAAATTAAGTTGTAATAATTTCCCACTAACATGCAGATACAATCTATAAGTCAAAAACAAAAATAAAAGAATAAGATGCATAGCACACAGTACTGCTAGAAACAGCGTCTGGTGGCTATAGACGTTTGCAAGAAGGGCTTCTGGGTGTGGCGGCCATTTTGCTGGGTGCACGATCGTCTGATAGTCAGGCCTTGCCAGCGCGTGCCCACTAAGGACATCTTATTGCCCCGTGGTTGCCCGGCTGACGCCAAACAAAGCTTTTTGCATCCACGGTTATCAGGCTTTGAACCGCGTCTGCTTGCAAACGTCTATACACGATCGTAAACAGGACATCGAGCCGCCGCCATGTCCGTGCGTGCTTGCCAGGGGTATACCTTCACGTGCATGTTGGATGTGCTGGTGCGCATTAGACACCATGCCTCGATAGCACACTTGCGACTAAACAGTTTTAGGACGTGCACCTAGGGTCCCTACGGTTCCTAGAGCGTCGCATTGAACATGCGCTGTGCCCCAAGCTGCACGGGGGACCCGTAATGCTGGGCCCTCTACTCCAAAACTCTTTATAATATAGAGAGAACTTCTGGCACACTTAGTTCGTTTGGCGCTTGCTTTGCTTGCTTTACCGTAAAGTGACAGGCACACGCTTACCGGACTGCAGGCATCTCACTGGAGGTACGCATTGAAAGAGTGTATAGGGTCCATAGGGTTCATTAAGGAAGAGACCCTTTTCAGAAGTTCGCCAGTCAACATTGGAGGTCGCCATTGGACAGTAGAAAATTGGGACTCCCTCCCGCGTGGATCCGGCACAAGGACTCGAGCCTGTTCCCCAGTAGGTGCGGTGCTGGGGTAATGCCGACATGGTTTGACTATAGAGAAAAATTGGCGACTCCCTCGACGGAAAGAAAAGACGTGTGATTTCTTTCTTCTTTTTTTTTTTTTTCTGAAAAGGGGGGGGGGGGTTGCTTAATCCACCAAAGGACATCCTGGTGATATCACACACTGCCTGGTGATAGTTAGGAGGAGGAAATTGGTTTAGCAGGACGGGAGGAGTCATATGTTTGTCTCTTAAGGCGTAAGCTAGGTGGCGCAAGCTACCGCTCGTTACGACGGGTACAGCCAGATACATCCATCCATCCATTGGACACGAAGCGCGTGATTGGATCCGAGTCCTCGCTGAATGCTGACGTAGCGCTCCTATCCAATACGAGCCGAGCCGAGTTCACGCCGAGAGCTGAAGCGACCCTCGTGTGCAATAGATGCTCAAAATACGTGATCAAACAATGGCGGACAAGTGCGGGCGAGGACTTTTGAAGAGAGTCTTTTCAATATAATCTACTCTGGCACTCGGCGCCGGAAATGCATCTCTTGGGAAGTATACTGTTTTGTCTACACTGTCACGTGTCATTATTGCAGCGAAACACAATTTCAAAAGTCCGCAGCGAGCCTTCGCTGGACCAATGATATCGTAAGTTATGCAACAAAGAGTCCCATACATATCGTACGATTTATAACCTTGCGCGGCGTAAGTACTCCTGTTTACCCATGAAGATACCTGTTCCAGGTTAAAAACAAGGCGGCTGAAGCCAACGACACTGACGATCGGTGAGTTTCGCTTGATCGGATAATCACAACCCCCCAACGACCGAATCATATATGATCGATATAAGCGCTTACCCATTTCGATGCTTGTACCCGCGAGAAAGAAAGCTTTTCGCGACATCTATCGCATCTCAATAGAAATGCCTTCATATTGAATCAAATTCCTTATAACCTTGCTCGTACATTTTATGCAGCCACAAGCGTATACTTATTATAGTAGAGTGCCAAGTCGGATCAATCTATATCTTCGGTCAACAACGTTTCTTATTCGCCTCGAGATCGAACCGTGTCGCCACCGTGCGGCCGAAATTGGAAACGCGCGAAAGCGGGGATACCGCCGTGCGTCACCTGCTACGGGCTCACGCTCAGAAGCATGGATCTCGACGACTCCAGCCCGTTTCAGGCTGAGCTTGACATTCCTATTAAATGTTTTATGTTTTTGTTGCCGTTTCTTCTATACTAAAGGTTGTGTTGTATCGTTTCCCATGCGTAGAAATTCAGCAAAGCGATTATGATTAAGCCGGAAGCTTCCATAATCTTACTGTGTTGGTTTGTATACAATCGCTGGTCCCACGTATTTTTGTTATCTCGCACAAACCATGGCTTTCATAATGCATTGAATGTTGAGTGGGTCTGTGGTCTGATTAGAAAATTAACCCGACTGATCGCTATCCCTTTAATAGACTAATCAATCAATAAATCCGTATGTTGATTTTTCGCCGTTCATATTGCGTGAAAGACTTTAAAACTATAGATTTTTTTACTAGCTTTAGTATGTCATAAATGGTATACTGCATTCCCATTCTAAACTTTACGTTGTGAGTCCTACATAAATATGAACACGGGAAGCCTTTTAAAATGAAGTATAATCAACCTCGGTGAAATGACAAGCACGCTGAAGTGGTTTACCGTGCAAGCCAGTGTCACAAAAGAAATAAAGACGTCAAAAATATTAAAGCAGGCATTTTTTACTCCTTGTTGACTTTCTCCAGCACAAGGCTCCAATTAACCGGCAAAAAAAAAATTGCAATTAAAGCATTACTTGAATAATCTGAAAGTTAATCGATGAACTGCCCAGTCCTGATATCCTGAGGGCGGAGGGTGATTGGAAAGTCTCGTGAAGCTCGCTAGCCCTCATCAGTAAAAGAGTATCACTGCGGCCGGTGCTGTCTGTGTCGTGGTGCGCGTCGTTTGTTGGGGTTGCAGAGTCTACTGTGTTTGAATCCAACATTATTTAGCCAGAAATTTATAGTATTAGCATCTTGACATCCGCGGCCCTCACCAAGAAAACTGAAGCGGGTGAACCCACACTACCGAGAAAAGCATTTAATAACAGGAACATTGCTGCGTTGCTCGGTTACACTCGTTTATTACAGTCACGGAAGGTATATCAGAACAGTTTGTTCCAATTGTTTCAGTTGTCCTGCCATCCGTGCAGTTTGCAGATTTTAACTAGTAGAGACACCCTGTCCCCATCGCAACGCAGTAGATTTGTTCAGACTCCAAAAAACTTACCCACACTATCGCACAGTAAAAGGGGAGAGGAACTCAATAGCATGGTAATTTCCAATACAGCGCTAACTTATCTTCATTCTATATATTTATATTACTGCAAAAGCTAAGTTAAAAAAAAAAAAGCATAGAAGCTGCGATTTCACAGCTTACAGTACCAGTATTATGTTATTTGGGTTGGAATTTATTGTTTTTTTTTTTAATTGCCACGTTGATGAACCGATACATCCATTTTAAAAGAAACAAATATTTAACATAAATATTCCAGTTCAGCCGGAGAGGCATCAGTCGTGGTGATCCATGCTTTCCAACGCCTGCCCAAAGCAGACGACGCGCCCACAGAAGCGATTATATAAATTTAGGCCTTACTCTGGCAACACGATTCGATCTTCACTGAAGCACCGAACAGTACCGCATCCTTTTCCGCTAGCATTGTTTTCCCACCGATAGTATGCGGCAAAATAAACGCAAGAATCTACGCCGTCTCGCGCGCGAACGTGGAGAGCCTATGGGGCGGCCGTTCTCCTATCCCCGCTTTGATGATGATGATAGTGCGACCGTAGCGCCACCTATAGGTCGATCTCGAGGCCAATAGTTCTTATGACATTGCAGCGTCCTGACCGAGGTGATCATCCACTACGAGACGGTCGACGTCATGATGCAAATCAAGTCGCCGAAGATCACGGTCAGTTTGACGCTTTTACAAATGTGAAGGGGCCTGCAACATTATTATAATTTGTTTTGCCCAAAGACTATCAACAACACGTACTAATCGTGCAGATAAATGGCGGCATGTGTGCGCGGTGTCTTGAGTTTTACATTGGTACGTATGATGTAAAAGCATGGCTCGGACAGGACGTAATACTCCGCGACGCTGTTAGCACGAACAAGCCATCGTCGGGTTTTTCTTAGTATTGAAGGACAGTCATCGAAACTACTTAATTATTCAATTTCTAAGTGAGAGTTAAAAATAAAGGAAATAAACTGTTTCTCTCGACCTGCACCACCTGACGGTACAACAGGTTTATCATTAAAACTATAGAAAGTGGTCAGTGGGGTACACATTTAAAGGGGTACCGGCGTCTTCTTCGTCCTCGATTTGCCTAAAAACTTGCTGAACACACCAACAAACATCGCTGAAATAGTAACCCAAATATTCGGCCCTAACTAACTTTTTTTCGCGAAGTTATAGAATTTACAATTTTGGTCCTCATCATGTTTTTCAAGGTGAAAAGCTCTATTGGCAACATTGAAAAAGTCACGTCATGGTTAGGCAGGGGTTCACTCTTTGGGCTGTGGACTTGGTTCCCAACTGATTACAAACAGTTTCATGGTGTCAAATGAATGCTTTGAAAGATCGCTCCAGCTCCCGCGTAGCAGCACGAAACCAATGCTCGGCATAGTCCATCTTCAGATAGCCCGCTCGAAACGCAGTCCTGCCATCCTGTGACGTCACGGCAACAAAAAGCGCGGGTATATTCGAATCCTGGTTTTGGCGTCATTTTCATTTGCCGACTTGACATTTATTTATTTATTTATTTAAAATACCCTCAAGGCCATCGGCATTACAGAGGGGAGTGGGGGTTAGAGGCAGAAGTACACTTTGCAGTTCAATCTGAGCAATATAGATTATTTATGGCAGTTCTAAATAAATGGTCAGGAACAACGGTTGCAATAGATGCGGGAAGGTGGTTCTAATCCACTGAAGTTTTCGGAATTAATGACTCTCAGAGTGCATCAGTGTTACATTTTAGAATGTCTACTTACATATGATCAATGCGTGACAAAATATAAGACGGATGATTCAGCAGTCTGTTGTAAAGTAATTGGTTAGTATGGTATATCTTATGAAAGGGACGTAAGCGAGCTATTTTGCGACGTAAAGTGAGGTTAGGCAGCGATAGGCTACTTTTCATGGAGGTTACGCTTGCGGTGCGATGAAAGTTGTTAGGAATAAAACGAGCAGAGCGATTCTGAACTGATTCCAGGGCGTTAGTTAGTTTGGAATGACCGGGGTTCCCAGATAGAAGAAGCATATTATAATTTAGAGCGGAAGAGCGTTTTGTACAGGGTTAGTTTCAGAGATGAAGGGGCAAGTAAAAAGTTTCGCTTTAGATAACCCAGCGTTCGATTAGCGTTATTAATAACATACTCAACATGCATTTGCCAGGAAATATCTGAGGTTATATAAACACCTAAATATTTATATGAAGAAACAGAAAGTAATGGAACATTTTCGAGAAAATAAGAAGAAGGAACAATACATTTACGTGATACTCTCATGGCCTTGCATTTAGTCGTGTTAAGTTCCATCCCCCATAATTCACACCATTTTAAACATGGTTAATTTCAGCTTGTAAATTCAGAACATCCGAGGCGTTAGTAACTTCTCTGTAAATACCACAATCATCAGCGAATAAACTAATTGAAGAAAATATCAAATTCGGCACATCGCTAATATAGATAAGGAACAATAGTGGACCTAATACAGAATCCTGTGGTACTCCAGAATTGACGGAGGCTAGTTGTGATGTTTCATCGTTAGCCGTTACAAACTGGGAACGATTAGTGAGAAAACAAGTTATTCAGGACAGAACATTTGCGTCAATGTTAAGACTGTTACGTTTTAATAGCAGCAGCTTGTGTGAAACTTTATCGAATGCTTTGAAAAAGTAAAAAAAAAAAAAAATGCAGTCTACCTGGGACCCTTGGTCAAGCGCTTGGTGCAAATCATGGGTGAATGACAAGAGTGGCGTTTCGAAAGAGAAGGGCTTACGAAAGCCATGCTGAGCGGTGCTGAAGAAAAGGTTAGATTAAAAAAATTGAACTAGTTGTGAGTAGATGATATATTCTGTATCTTGCATGGAATGCTAGTAAGCGAAATCGGTCGATAGTTATCTGGGCAATATTTATCACCTCCTTTGTGGAGTGGCACCACCTTCCCTATCTTCTAATCAGCAGGCAACTCTCTAAGTTAAAGCGACTGGGGAAAAAATTTGAGATAATATCAAAGAGCAATACATTTTTTGTGTTTTTGAGGAACTTTGAGTTAATGCTGTCGGTGCCAGCAGAGGAAGAAAGTTTTAAGTTATCGATTATTTTAACAATACCAATAGGATTGACAAAAACGGGCCCCATAGGCAAAAAATCACTCGCATCAAACCTACAAGTAGGCGTGTTAGTGACAGTTTGAAAGGACTTAATAAAAACATCATTCAAAACGCGAGCACATTCATCGCTAGAAATAATATCTCCGTTCGCGGCCTTGAGTGAAATTACGAATTTTTCTTTTTTACTAACAACATTCCAAAACTGCTTTGGGTTAGTGGCTAACATAGACGGTAGCTTAACGTTAAAATACTCGTATTTCGCATCTTGAATGGCATTTTTGTAAACTGCACTGGCGTCATGATAAGACTCCCACCGATTACCAGTACTGGAAGATTTAGCAGCACGAAACAATCTCTTTTTCTTGTTCGATAGCCTTTTCAG